TCTATCCATCCAATTTTGATTTATTAAGCATCAAAATTTTTCATTTTTTACTGCCCATAAGAATTTTTTTAGTAGATTTTTTTTCCATCTTCAGATGCTTATAACAACGAATTTTCTGAAAAAAAAAATTGAAAAAGTTGTATTTCGCAAATTATGTGACTTGCGATTTGTTTCATTTTTTCCAGTAGTTCTGATAATCAAAACAAGTATTTTGAGCCATCATACAAGTTGGGGATCCTCCTGGATCTATTTTATTTTCAATTTTTTCTTTTGGAAATTTCGCAAATTTGGTCAAAACACCCGAAATTGGCGTTGATTGACTTGGATTATAGACAGTATGAAGGGGATTTGACTGCATACCTATATATTACATATTTCTTCGATACATAATCGAAGTCGTGGAAATATATATATATATATATTTTTTTTATTTATCTGTTTGATGTATATCTGATGTATCTCGGGTGTTTACATTTTTTGTTCCCCAACCCCTTAAAGCTAGAGATATCAATACCACGCCATATGGACTACATTGAGTTTTACATTGTTTTAACACTATTATTATTATTATTATTATTATTATTATTGCCGGTATACATTATTCATTCATTCCTCCACTTGAGTAATCACATTTACATTCACATTTGGACTGTAGGACTAATCAGATATATAGCAAAATATATAATATATATATTTTTTATACATTTTTCAATGCGGGAAATTTCACCGCGATATTACGTCATCCATTCCACGGGCTTTAGTATGCCGTGACAGTAGTAAATACCAATTTACGACCACCAAGAATCAATACAAGCTAATTGGTTCCGCATTATTAACTCAGTGATTAAAAACTGAATGAATATAAAAGTCTGAAGTCACTGGCCTCGCTCTTGAACAGCGATTAAGCAAGTTCAAGGATTACCGTTCACTTTGTGCGATAAAACGAAATGCGTTTATCATCGACTCGAGTAAAAGTCAATTTTTCAAATCCTTAAATGTGAACATCTCATTACATTAAATCATCGAATTAACAAGGGACAGTTAACCATTCAATCTCAAGCCCGATAATACCCAGGAATGCATCGTAAAAGCCGGCCCTTACGACAAATTTATACTGATAATAAACTCAAAATTATCCCCCTGCCAATATTGTTCGCAGAAATGCAGAAAATTGTAAAAATTAATCTTGCAAATTCCCGATGAACAAAGACGAATTGCATTGAATTTAGCATCCTTGCATCTCCGAAGGCCAGTGGAGAGGCGTGGCAATGTTATATTCCCAAGAAAAAGAGGTGCGCTCATGGGAAGCAAGGACACGCATACATAAATAGCGTCTTTTGCCACAAAAAATAACAACTCCTTCCCTGGTTATTGTCAAGGAAGTATAGAATACCAAGGCGCAACGCGGCATATACCTGTTCCCTTTCTAGCCCCGGGAGGGTATATCGCGATGAGGGAAATAAAAAAATCCAAAAGAGGAACTGAAAGGGGATAACAGCAAATTCACGCCAAATCAGCAGGTCAATAAAGTCGATGCTGTAGTTTTTTGTCTCCATTTTTTTCTGAAAAGAGGACGATTAGACAAAAATTTCCAAAAAAGAAAAATTGAAAAATATTCCGAATTGAATGAGTTATGATTTTTTGTAAATGGCTGGTTTTTGTCCAAAATTTTTTTTTTCTAAATTGGCCTCACTATTTCTGCAGGGTTACTGCTGCAATTTCAAGTGAAAAAGCGGGAAATTTTGAACAACGACAAAGTTAAATGAAATTTCTGTATATTTCTTCATTAACGATTCAATAAATTTCTTGTATATTCAAAAAATTCTCGATTTTCAGGTACTTTCGGCACTTAAAAACATGGAAAATTTTGAAAATTTAGGGAAAAACTTTTCTGAATTCTCAATCTACTAAAAATTGAATTGTATGTGATATTCAATTTTAACAAACACAAAGAGAGAGAGAGAGAGTACATCATTATTTTTACATTGAAGAAGGGAATTTATATAGCGTTCCACATCTTTGTGACGTCGTAGGAAATGGGTGAATGGGATTTGGATTAGATAGAAGAGAAACCAGGATTATTCTCAATATGAATAACCAGAAAATTTTTACTGGAAAAAGTGGATAGTCCAGACCGGGATTTGAACCCGGGACCTTCCGATTATGCATCGGGTGCTCTCCTTTTTTTTACCAAGTTTTTTATTCATTTTTACAAGTGTTATTTACAATATTCACAACTATTTACATAAAAAAACTGGTATATAAAAAAAATTAGTCTATTTTATTTGGGTTTATAACCCGATGACCTGGCGCACAGTGGGTAAGAGGGTTGCCTCATATGCGAGAGGTTTCGGGTTCGATTCCCGGTCGGGGAGAATGGTGATGATCTAACCATTCAAAGTCTTGATCAAGCGGCCGGTACAATAGATCTTGATAGATTTAGATGGCATAGGGCGCTTTGTGCGCCTAGTCGCTCCATTCTAATCTCTATTTGGGTTTATAAACATTGTTCACTCTGTGACGCTCGCGTTTAACTTATTCTAGGGTTTTGTTTTGAATTATTTGTTGTTCTATTTTTGAGGATTTTGAACTTCTACTTCATTTTGCAGCTTCCTTTGTATTTTATTTTGTGTGCGCTTAAAAAAAAAAGAGAGAAAGGCTTTGAAAAAAGAAAAAAAAAGAGTAGAATGTTTTTATAATGTGAAAAAACAAGCGCAATTAAGTCATAACAAGGAGTGTAGTGTATTTTTTAATTTGAATTTCATATATTCTTCATTAAAAGAGTGATTGTTGTTCCTTTTTTATCCTTGTTTTTCATCTTTTTATTATTATTATTATTATTATTATTATATTGTATTGTAATTTTTTTGTTAATAATACTGAATTATTTTATCAGTTCTTTTTTTTAAATTTTATTAAGGCGGTCTAAAGTTGTGCCTTTGACTTCTATTTTGGCTTCTGTACCCATTATTATTTTTATTTTTGTACATTTGATACCTATTTTGGAATTCAAACATGAATTTATCATTTTGGTCTAGCCACCAATATTTTTTTGTAATTCGATAAAAAACCTCGATATCAGTTTCTGGAATTCCTCTGGGGTATTTCAACTCCCTGTTCAGGAACTCCTCGACTGGGATTTTGTTATTTTTTTTGTGTCTTGGAATATGAAAAAGAATTGGTATATTCATTTCATCTTGGAATAGACCGATCTTATCGTATGATGTGAAGTATTGTGGTTTAATATTTCCACATCTGGCTCTGCCAATTGCTTCTTGGTTATCATAATTCGTTAGTAAGTTTATGATGTCGTTTTTTATCGATTTCAGCGGGTGCTCTCCCAACTGAGCTATTCGGCTCCTAGCCATTTTTTCATTTCAAATTTTCACATTAAAATTGAATTGCATATGATAATCAATTTCCACAATGAGTTCGGAAATTCAAGCTAGCATTTCTGATTCTTGTGAAATATCTTTCTTTTCAAATGGATTGTTTTGATAGTATAAGATGATGTTTTTTTGAATGTTGTCAATGTTTTTTTTATGAATCTGCGACTTCCTAGCACGAGAATGCTTATTAATGAAGATTCACTGATTATTGGAGCAAGAAATTAACCCGAATTATTTGGGGGAAGTGGTTCGAAAATGCAAGCAATTAATTTATTGCAGCAACGTAATTTATTTATTATTGATCTATTGAAAAAGTTGAATTCTCACCTGGCGTGTCTTCGAAGATTGAACGATGTAATAAATGAAAATGACGTTGGTAATGTGTTTGTGTAATAGGGAACATACGTATTTTTTTAAATTTTTTTTCGTAATCTAGAAATTGTAACAATCTCCCCAATAATTTTTTGAACCGTCCAATTCGCATTTTGCAATGAGAAATCGTTGATTGAAAAGTGCACTTGTTGGGCGCCTCGAGTGGGCTGTGACGTCACAGCACTGTAGTCGACATGCCTCTCACTCACTCTCGTAGCGGGAGTCGACAGAGCCGACGCGCGTTCTCTCTCGCACGTTAGCAGCCTAGTGTGACTGCCGTGCTGTAACGTATCAGCGTCCGAGTGCCCCGTCCGAGCGATCAACTTTCAACTCATTATTAACATTAATAATCCATATCAAAATCAAATTTTTTTCCCATGGAATATTTTTTCTATAACCCATAGAACAAATTGAAAGGGAAATTTGATCAATTTGAAAAAAATGTATGTTCCCTATTGTTCTTCACATTCGTAAGGGAAAATAATTCCGGGAATTTGTTTCCGAGAGAATTTTCTCCGGGGGGGAAAAAATCCGGGAACCCAAATACCTAAAAATTGCATTTCAATGCGTGAGAAGAGAGGAATAGCCCGAAGCCGAAGGGTTCTCCTGCGGGCAATTTGGTATCAGTGCATACAAGGACAAAAATAGAACCGCAAAGAGTCTTATGCATCCTGATAATAAATCAATGATCATGCCTGGACAGGTTGTTGGGGTCTATCCCCACCCCGTCGCCGGCAAAACGAAGGACGATAACCCCTTGCAAGCAAGAGGGAATCCTCGTGCCTCTTTGCCCACACATTACGAATGGGGAATTGACTCGGTAGCGATGGCTACTCAGGGCGGCGCATCCTCACCCAAGTCCCCCCGACCCACAGCACTTCGCCAACAACATCAAACGAATTTTATCCCCCAGCACGTGTCACCCCCCAAGTATAGAGAACGATTCTTCGATTTTCCACAGGCTTATTCTCGACACGTGTCCATTGTCAATGTGGTATCACCAAAGAATAGTGACACATATCGTATGGCGAGTGATACTGACGAGAAACTTATAGGTGTTTAGGGGAATTGCGACGGCCCTGTTATCCTCAGGATGCACCTCAGCCTCTTCTTTGTGCGTATTGGGGTACAAATACGCGGATGAGTATTGGCCGAGGCAGGTTTTTACTCCAGCATCTGTTGCCCCGGCTCTATAAGTACCACGGGTTCTCCTGAGATCCTAGCACATCGGCTAACGGAAGCACTTAGGAATAACACGAGGTATCGTCGTCAGTTCATTCAACTTTGTTAAGAAGGGACGAAATGCTGAAGTTTGTAAGTTGTATTCTTTTATCTAATGTACGAAACTTAATGATTGATCTTATTCCACCCTTTTGCCACGAATATTGCTGAGTGGCTCAAAGGATAAACCCCGCCATTAAATGAATCACGATGAAGAAACGGTAATCGAGATAACGAAGTGTAGTGCCTAATTTTTGGTTCTCATCATCCGTTTCAGACGATCATTGCTATTCTCCTGGGAGTGAGTTCGGCGGCTCCAGCGACTGAACCAGTGGCAGCTCCTCACAGCAAGCCCGAGGCGGTACCAGCCGCACCGGTCGCTTACAGTGCACCAGCTCCAGCAGCAGCAGCACCAGCGGCTCCGGTAGCTCCGATTGCTTACAGCGCACAAGCTCCAGCAGCTGCGGCTCCGGCGGCGCCGTTAGCTTACAGCGCACCAGCTGGAGGAATCGAGCCGAAATCGGCTGATCCAAGCCTCGAAGCCAAAGCATCGCTCCATCAGGAGGCACCTGCACATGTAGCGCACATCGCACCAGGAGGTGTTCAGGGGGATCAACCGATTCTTGCGCAGGCACCCGTTGAGGCTGTGGGACAGTCCGCTGCTATCGCTGTTCCAGTGCCCTCAGCCAAACAGCTTCTACTCGCTGAGGCACCGCTGCTCAAAACACCAGCGTCTACCGCCAAATTGACACCTCTGGCCGCGCCAATAATCGCACCAATCTCACCACTCGCTTATGCTGCACCTGGACCAGCCATTCTCGCACCGGTAAATTACGCCTACATATCCGTTTGAATCAGATGATTGTGAGACAACAATTGTTTTCAATCAATTTTTGAATCTTTTTATTCCGTTTTTTTAATGTTCCGTTTTGGGGATACATCGATTTTTATAGTTCCCAGCTTGGAATGGTCTCACCGCATATCCCGCGACTTACTCGATTGAGCAGCACGGCTACCACATTACCTACTGATTTTTAATTTGAAAATTTCATTTGTGAATTTTTATGATTGAATAATTAACAGTCGTCGGTATATCATCGCAAGCCGAACAATAGCCGCTTGGTGAATAAAATACATTCTCTGCGCTCCGAAATCGGTACTTCAGATTTCTACTCCCTGAATATATTCATTTATCGTCAACCTCACTGAAAATATGTCTGAGTGTTTTTTCATGGAAAAATTATGAAATAAAGAATGACTTTTTTTATTTAATGAGTTTTCGAATTTATTCGCTTTTCTCCCTGCTGACGAGGCTGAGGTGCATTCCTATAAGACTTGAGGCCAACTTTATAAATGGATTTAAAAAAATGTGATCTTGTTGTCTCAGAAATCAACGAAGAAAATTGTTGGATGAATATTTAGGATTTCGAAAATATTTGAATGTTTTTTTATTTTGATGAATATTAAACGATCAATACGCTACAGACGAAATCACTACGCTGTTCCTGTTCCTTCCACCAAACGGCGCGCACTGGTAAATTACGCCTACATATCCGTTTGAATCAGTTAATTATGAGGAACAATTGCATTCAATCAATTTTTGGATCTTTTTATTCCGTTCTTTAATATTCCGTTTTGGGGATACATCGATTTTTATAGTTCCCGGCTTGGAATGGTCTCACCGCATATCCCGCGACTTACTCGATTGATCAGCACGGCTACGGCATTACCTACTGATTTTTAATATGAAAATTTCATTTGCGAATTTTGATGATTCAATAATTAACAGTCGTCGGTATATCATCGCAAGCCGGGCAATAGCCGCGTGGTGAATAAAATACATTCTCTGCGCTCCTAAATCGGTACTTCAGATTTCTACTCCCTCTATATATTCATTTATCGTCAGTCTCATTGAAAATATGTCCGAGGGTTTCTTCATGGAAAAATTATGAAATAAAGAATGACTTTTTTTATTTAATGAGTTTTTGATTTTATTCGCTTTTTTCCCTTTCAACAGGGGTGAGGTGCATCCCCACAACATTTTTGAGGCATTCAATAAGTTCATGAACAACAGAAAAATTCATAAATGGATAAAATAACATGTTGCCTCGGAAATCACCGAAGATAATTAATAGATAACTGTTTAGGATTCCACATAGGGTTTTCAATTTTTTAATGTTATTAATAGATTTGAAACATTGAGAGAAAGCAATAAGTGTTTACCACTTTGGCCCATCCTCCCCTAACAGCACATTCACATTAAACTTGTCATTATTTCAATAAAAAATAATTCTAGCGGAAAGTGTCAAGATACTTTTCATCAGAAATTCTCCTGCTCGCGAAAAAGGTTTTCGTGGTCTTGCCATTTCTATCCCCTCCGTAGGCGTACCCCAAATACATATTCATAATAGCGAAATAAATATATATTAACGTTTCAATACTTCCGTTTTCCCCGCGTGGGTTTAATCCTCGCAATCTCCTGATTTTCTCCATAGGTTAAAATTTGAATCATAAAAAAGATCTAAACAGATTTCTTCCTTTTTGCGTTGAGCATGTGATTGACATTGCGCAAATGAGAGGCTCTCAGCCATTGAACGGGTAAACCACAGGAAAATGAATGAGTTTGTCACGATGAAAGGGAAAGTAGGATCATCCGCGTTAGACTTTCTCAACGACATTAGTACTCTTATCACATCTGTCTTCCAAACAAACGTGAACATTTGGGTATGGGTGGTGTAAAGACCGCAGGTACGTAATGACGTCATATCCAAGAGCCTCTGAGTCCATTGAGCCCCGTCTTTCGTAACTCACTTCGAAATATTCAAAATTATTCGAGAAGAAATTGAACAGTAACTCTCGGAGGCATTACATTAGCCCTCGGCCGGACATCTAGAAGAGAAAGATCCACGACAGAATTTCTTTGTCAAAGATTTCAAAATAACCGACGTCAGTGGCCGAGTGGACTAGATGCAAGTCTACACTGAGAAAAAAACGACAAAGTTCTTAAACAAATCTTACTTGTACCAAGAAAATAGTTTCTTGAAAATTATGAAAAAGGATTTTTTTGTGCCAAACATGCAGAGAATGCGCTAAAATGAAAATTTTCGTCGCAAAAGTAGATTTAGTAGTTAAAAAAAAATTGCATTCTCCGTACACGCAAGAAATGTCATTTCTAGCACTACTCCTTCGTTATTCGATACTCCCATACGTATTTTGCTTCCGAAAAATCTTTGTTTAATATATCAGAAATTGGATGAAAATAATACAAAGCAGATTGATAATTATTCGAAGTGTGAGAAACGAGTTTAAATAACATGAATCAATTAAACAAAAAGCAGTGCACGTGTTTATCAAAAAGGAATTCAGTTGACCAATAATGATAACAATCAAAAGTACGCCAGCGCCTTGAGTTGAGCACTAATTTGATATAAATTCATAAATGCCCTGCACAGTTGATAACTAGGATTTCTCTCAATAATTTGGCGTGTATCACCAGCACAAGACTTGTTTGCCAACGTGTTTGTTTTTCTCTCAGTGTAGTGTGCGAAAGCTTGTGAGTTCGATTCTCCGTGAAACAGAATTTTTCAACGGAAGGCTCCGGCGAGGAGGATTGCTAATAGAGTAACCGCCTGTACCGGCATGGGCTTCCTGTGGTTTCCCATGCTACTCCTATGTTCGATAGGAAGACAAATGCGGTACAGTGTAAAATCCACAGCCGCATGTATAGGGTTGGATCGAGTGCGGAAATGAGATCAGAAAAGGAGACCCAAAAGGCCTTTAAAAAAAAGATTTCAAAATTAAAAATCTCTGATGGTTGAATCGTAAATAGACTCTATAGAATAGTTCTTTCTCAAGCCTCAGTCACTCGCTCAATGAAATTAAGAAAAACCGAATAATCCCGGTTCCCGTGGTTCCCGGTAGCTTAGTCGGTAAGAGTGCCCGGCGCGTAACTGGGAGACCCGGGTTCGAATCCCGGCTGGGCGAATCGGAATTTTTTCTCTCTAAATTTCAATTCTATTTGAATTTATTTAATGCCTAAAGGTGGTTAGGCGGCGTGCTGAGTTGAATTTGGAGTGAGAATTTCCGTGGTTCCCGGTAGCTTAGTCGGTAAGAGTGCCCGGCGCGTAACTGGAAGACCCGGGTTCGAATCCCGGCTGGGCGAATCGGAATTTTTTCTCTCTAAATTTCAATTCTATTTGAATTTTTTTTTTTCAATCATTGGAGGAGTTGATCCAAGGTCATGTGCAACATAGCCATGCTCTAGAGCAATATGATTGTCATAATCAAAACCTCATTAGGCCCGCCGAAGAATGTCTCGATTGGAGAAATACCATTTTGAAAAAATAAATACTTCTTTCGAGTAATAATACTGCGTGCACTAAGTTTTTCTTCGAACAAAGTTGATCGAAGCCCAAAGAATTTTCAATTCGGAGACGAAGTAAATCTTCATTTTAGACTCCCTAGATTCTCACCTGAAAATACCTATACAATTCATATCGAAATCCAATAGAATTTCCTACGAAAAGTGCCAAGTTTTCCAAGTAAATTATTCGCTACTCAACTAGACTTGAAAATAATTCTGTTGGAAATTGTTTCCTGACCACTCATCCAATCACCCATTACAAATGCTTTAACATTTCCACTAGATCATTCACCTCTAATCCATAATTTTTTTCTCAGCAGAGTTAAATAATCTCGAGCGGAAATTAATGATGGAAATAATTAGACAATGAATAATAATGAATAAATTCTAGTCTGTCTCCAACTCAATGGCCATAAATTCTTTGCCTTGCCCGAATTGGGTCAAGACAGCTGTAGGATTGATCCTTTGAAATCCCCAGATTGCAACACCCTGGAAATCCCTGCGTTGAGCAATACCCAACCACCGCACACCACAGCCGACAAAAAAAGGGTAATCGTGCTCTCAAATGCATGTGGTTATATCCATCTAACTGCTTTCATTGCAGACCACTCATTAATTAAGGAGAAGCCAAAAAATACTGTATTGTGACAGAGTTAGTTAAATGTGCGGTCTTTGGAGAGCTGCTGATGGCTCTCCAAATGTATTGAAGAACAGTCTTCTTCGAAACAAAAAATAAGCATTTGTTGTTACACTGTTAGTCACTTGGGCATCCTCGAAAACACTTTCTCCCGGATACTCAGACACGAGGGATTCCGCTGCAGTTTGAAACCGTTGAAACTATTTTTTTCAATTTGGAATTACAACGATTAACGGTTAAGGATATCCGAGTACTTTGGCTGTTTTTTCCTCTAGAGAAATTCTTTTGTACTTTTGTACTCGAACATCAGAGCTTTCATTTGAACCCCGTTTGACCCTAAGTTTCCGAATATTTTACAATTATGTTATTATTATTGAAAATTTGAAGACATTTTTAACATTTGAAAACATTTTTAAGTAATTTAAAATAATTATCATATTATTATAATTAAAACATGATTAAAATATGATAATTATTCATTTTTTAATAATTATCGTGTTATTATTATTTTTTATTATTTGTTATAGATCATTTTCAATATTAATAATTCGAAGAGTGATTCAAAAAGTAACAAAATGTTGTTTGCACTGAAACAATTAATTTTCGATAAACCAAATATTTATAAAATATCAGTTTTTCATATAATTTTTTGTTTACATTTTCCTAAATTGTTTAGGAAAATGTAATTCGCCTTTTTGAATCCTCAATATATTTTTTCCAATTCTCGGATTGTATTCTCCCAATGTTTATTATTTAAACATCCAAAGGATAAAAAACAAAAAAATATTTTTAATAATCTAAAATTGATTATCAACACATTGATGCAGCGAATATCTCTTTATTCCATTTTTAATCATTTGCATTTTGTCTTTCTTTATTTTTTCTTAATAACGAACACTGATTATTAAAAACTCATGTAAATAAAACTATCCATTTTTGAAACTTGGAAGTCACCGTGTCAAGGTTGACGAAGACCCACGCATCTCAGCGAAAAGAAAGTCAGACCCGGCGCCACTCCAGAAACTCATTTA